CTATAAATGTAAGTGTAGAGGTGTTTAAGCCCTAAAGAGAACATATTTTTATCTCAAGTACAACCAGAAATTCATCGTATCTAAAATGTATCAAATTTAAATTATTTAATTTAAAAAAGTCAAACTCAATAGCTCCACCAAGTCAAACTGAGCCACCAGAATGTGATTCTTGAAAAACAAATTGTACCTTTTTGAGCAAGCCCAGGTATCATTGCCCTTTCATTGTTCAAAGTGGGCCCACCATAATGATAATAGCAAATGGATATGCATCTTTCAACAACTAGATCGCCAAAGCGTCATACTAGTGCATAGCATGTAAAGTGTAATGTGCTGTGATCGGGCGTAAAAAAAACTGTATCTATCCATTTGGACTTCTAATCTTGAAATACTTATGTACATTATCTATGACTATTAGCTACCTCTTCTATCCTCCCAAAACCCATCAACTTCCCCTTTTGTTCCCTCTGATTACACACCTTAAAACACCGGCTATGTTCAATGCATGCCACCTTTTCGAAGTAGAATTTCCACCCAATGCTGCAGCGCATGGCAAGCAATGATATAGGCAAGAAACTAATGAACTTTGTCAGAGTCCCGTTTTATAGTAATCCTAACACTCCATGATGAATAGAGGTGAATATCATTCTCTCATACTGTTCATGGATGAAAAAAAGCAGCAGAGCCTTCCTCTAATATAATGGGGAGCCACCTAAAGCCTTTTTGACTAAATTATTGTCCAAAAAATTGGAGCGAAAACAAGGCATACTAGTCAGTCTGAGACTCAATCAACCATTTCTATTTATATGGAAAAAAAAATCACTTTTGCAACCTATTTCCACCACACTAATTGTTTCAAAAACGATTTCATGGATTACAGTGATTCCTAATATAGCTCTTTTTCCTTTTAAAAATATAAACAAGGAAAATAAACAACTGTGGTGCTAAAAAGGCAGAACTCTTAAAGGATAGCAGAAACGAAATGTTGCATAAAACAAAGTAACATTCAAGGAGAGATGCTATTATCCTCCAACTTGGAGCATGCAACCTATACTGTTTTCTTTAGACAAAAAAACAATTTCTTTAGGTGTTATATATATGAATTGCATTTATGATTATTGTTGTGATTTAATATTTAATTCGTAGTCAAAAAATCAATTTAATTTGTCTTATGACTCTTCTCCCTCCTTTTCTATGTGTGGGTATCACAGTGTAGCTTGACTTCAAACCAAAGTTTTCATCATTAAGATCCTAACTAGAATTAGAAGGTAGAGAGAACAACGCCTAAAATGTGATTACAACATAGATCATAAGATCCTACCGATTATGCACATTTATAGTAAAAAGTATATATAAATATAAGATAACAGATAAGAAAAATAATCTTCAAAATCATTAGTTCGCTACTAAGGTTTAATTAAATTTCAATAAAAAATACATACGTCAGTTGAAACCTACAAGTGAATTTAAAATTATATATAAATGAAATTTTTATTTATCTATAGTCATACATTACAAAACAACATAAGTTTACGATTCAAAAGGGACATGTTTTCTACAACTCCTACAGTTAACTATTAGCCACAGCCAGTGTAATGTTGTTTGACACAGTCAGCAAGCAATCAGAAAATAGTCAAAAGGGGAGACATTATTTGGAAAAATGTAGAAAAAACTAGTATGGGCCACATCGAGCAGTTCACAACAATCAATTTTGAACTTCAAAGAGATAATTGGTAAACTGCAACTGTGATACACAAACAAATTCCAACCACCACATTCCATCAGCCCATCATCAACAAGAACAAATCAACCACAGACCAATCACAGAACACATATTGAGAGATCACATCAAACAAGGAATTTTGCTCAGATGGATACCACCACCAAAAGGGCAGCTCACTACAATATTCAATGTGTGTGGTTTTATGTCCATGAAAAACCAAAATATATCACTATCTAATTTAACGTAGAAGCAGCTTTATATAGCATCTGAGATCTGCATAATTTTGTGCATATATAGGTAGTAGATGCCAAATCAAGCACTCGATAAGATTATTTCACCGCTTCTACAATCTTAGTTTCAGTTTCTCATTTTACACTAATAAATAGTAATGTTTTACCAAACTACCCAGCATTAAAAAAAATGTTTTGGTGATTCTAAAGGTATAGCTTACTGACACTACTAAAAAAAATTAGAAGAATCTTCACGACTCCCTTTAAACACATTTCTCTTGATTCTTTTCTTCAAAAAGATTGTTTTGAAAATATGAATCACAATTATTGAAAGAAGTGTACCCACAGGCAGTAATAATGGATTCCGTTCTGGGGAGGGGGCGGGAATAGGAGAGTAGCACTCCAATAGACAATACAAAAAATAGCTAAGTAAACAAGAGTTGACTCAAAAGAAAACAATACATTTGAAAAGTTAGCAAGTAATTACCAGTGCAAACTCTACAAATGCAATTCGAGTTGAATGATGATAATCCCCAAGAAGCCTCAAGCGATGAACCTAGATGAATAAACAAAAAAATTACAAAATATTTTACAGCATACTCATTAACCAACAAAGGGTATTCAACCTAAACGAACACACCAAAATAATGGAAAATTTCTCATATGGCACTTAAAGTCAGCCATCAAAAAAATACTATAATCCTAGTTCCATTAAAAGCTACAAACCTCTCCACAAATAGATTCAAAGAAGTGTTTGACATCTGCTTGAGTAAGCTGCAGAAACAACAATTTTTTTTAAGAATAGTGAGATTCAAGTGCAGCATAAGACATGAGAGAAGACGAAGTAGTTCCTTCAAGCAAGATTCTACGAATGTATCAAACCCTAAAAGTACCTTCTTGTCGATATTTGTGCAATAAATAGTTCTTGAGCACATTTCCCTTTCATCTTCAGACTGAGAAATACAGCATCATTAGGAAGGCTAATAGCAATGCTAATTCACTATGACCAAATATCTTCTAATATGTGTAATAGGCATCATGAACAGAAAAATATTACCCTAGGCAAAAATGTTGGATTCACAGGTGCAATGGCAGTTTTTGAAGGCAACACTCTCAGTGGGTAATATCCAAGCATGGTACCAGACAGGCTCAAGGCAGCCCTTGCTCCATCTATGCACACAACAAAATTATACAGTGAAATATCAATAACAATCACAGCTTACGAGCAACATACATTTGGTAACAATGTTACCTTCATCTGTAAACTCAATGAAAGCAAATCGAAGAATAGAATTAGGATCTCCACATACACGGCAATCAACAACCTATAACCAGGAACAAGGTATCAATTTAGTAATAATCCGCCATAATTAAGAAGAAAAACACCTGTCCTAAACAAATTGTAACCATGCTACCTGGCCACAGTTGAGAAAGAGAGCAGCCAGCTGCTCTTCAGTAACCTAGACACCAACAGAAACACAATCATTTGAGTGTATTCCAACAGAGAAAAAAAAAATCAATTGCACGACGGCAAGCTAGTTGAAACAAGAGAATCCACAAGGCAGCTAAACAACAATCATTAGCATGAATGCACGTGGCAAACATTGCAAGCAATCCACAACACCTTGAAACAACACCGGCTGAAATGAATACACGATGCAAACATTGCAAGCTAGCTGAAACAGGAGAATCCACAAAACAGCCAAACAAAAGTGATTGGCACTAACACGAATACTCTTTGCAAACTAGCTGAAACAAGACAATCCACAAAAAAGCTAAAAAATAATGATTGGCACTAACAGACGTGGCAAACGTTGTAAGCTAACTGAAACAAGAGAATCAACAACAGAGATCAAATTTATACCAGTTGATCAATGTCAGACACATAAACGGTCCTCCGAATCATCTCTTCTCTTTTCTCCATATCCATTTTATGATTCACTCTTCGCTTCCCAGGATTATAGCCATTCTTCCTCTGTAACACATGTTATAGTATCAAGATAAAAGGTAAAACATTCATGCCATTGACCTGGTATAAAAAGGTAAAACATTCGTGCCATTGACCTGGTATAAAAAGGAAAAGAACATAACTAATTGAAATCAAAACAATTTACTCATACCCTTCTATTGTTAATTTGTCCATTAGCACTGCCAAAGTTATTCGGCAGCATAAAATTGTTAGTGTAACCAAACCCAGTATTAGGTCCAGCTAAAAAGCCATGAGTATTGGTTAGTGATGGGGGCACAAATTCCTCAGCCATGGGGTTCAACTTTGATAAAAGCTCTTCCAAATCCCTCATGTCATGCTTGAAACTGTCACCCCCATTCTCCCCACTCATGACCCCATTCATCCCATACCCATCGTTGTTCACCCCACTTGCGTGCATCTGAGTATTGTAGCTGTAATTTCCGTTAGGAACTGTCGTAGAGCTGGGAACTCTATCTGGATGCTGTTGATGGGTGAACACACCGTTGGTCAGATTCTGATCGCTTCTCGTTTTCGATTTCTCGACCTCACTCGAATCCGCAGACACTACACCGCTGTCCAAACTCTGACTCGAAGAACCGATTTTGGCCCCAACATTCTCAGCAACCGCCATAATCACTTGCGTAGAGATGAAAAGTCGTTGTCTTTTTCTCCGCTTGAAGGTTTTTTCGTGAATCTGTATCAACCAGTAAAACCTTAAAAAAAGGAAAAGACCCAGAACAAGAAAACCTTATTCAGAACGAAAACAAACCTGGGTTTTTGTCTAAAAATTCTTCATTGACATAAGATCAAACTGATTCTGAAGATTGAGACACAACAACAACCACAACCAAAAAAACAACCTTAAAACCCCAGAAAAGAAACAAAGAAAAATTGGTGATATAGAGGTTTATCTTACTGATGATTAATGTTATAGAGAGATGTGAGAGGGTAATATTCTTCGGATCGTCCGTTTTCACTGCACTGACTTTTTAGACCCTTGCAGCAGAGAAGAACGTCCCAACTTGATGTCTTGATGGTGATGATGAATGCATCAAAGAAAAAATTGAACAGCGTGACTCAATTTTTTTTGTTTGTTTTTTTTTTTCATTAATTTTCCACAACTGCCCATTCAGTCACACATGTCGCCACGCGTCTGATGCATCCGCCAGAATACTACTCATAAACCAAAGCCACGGATTTGTTATTCAAAACATCAATTAATGAGACACTTATCTTTCATGCCTGATGATTTTAATGTCATTAAACATAATTAGAGAGATTAGTAACAAGAGCCGTGGCTAATAATGTAATATTAATGTAAAAAATAGAATAATCTTTTTATTCTTTTTAATGCAAAAGGTATTGGTTTTCTATGTTTGATTTTGACGTTTTCTCAATATAATGATAGTGATCTCAACCTTCAGAAAATAAAAATGAAAGTTTTGTTAAACAACAAAAGAACTTATAATGTACTTATTGTGAAAAGAATTTCTTTTTCAATATTTTCATATTCTTAAGACATATTTAAGTGAGTTTGTTCATTGAATTAGTTTCAAGAAAGAGAAATAAGAAAAATATTGAAATCAGTTTTTTATAAATTAAAATTAGTTTATGTCTAAATATATATATATATATATATACTTTGATTATATTTTTATTTTCAATTTGTGTATAAAATGATTTCTAGCTTATTAAAATTAATTAGATACAATGTTATATTCAGAATGTTTTATTGAAGAATAATTTAAAAAATTATACTATATAGTTCTTTTAATTTTAAGAAAAAATTGCACAAAAAGGATATTGACAAATGATAACATCTTGAATCATTGATGACTATAATTGATATTCATGTTATATAATTTAATATAAAAGGATAAAGAGTCTCTTCAATATAAAGTAATATATCTTATTTTTAATACAATAAAAAATTATATTTTTAATATAATAATTTTAATTATCTTAACTTTATTTAAACTTTATTAATAGTTAATATAATTGAATAGTTATTATCATATGTTTTTATAAATAAAAAATTAATTTTAACATGTAATTAATATTACAAAAATTAAATTCACAAAATAAAAAATAAAGGTTAAAAATAATTATATATATAAAATAAAAAATAAAGTTTACAAAATAAAAATTAAGTTAGCTAAAGTCTTGATCAGGGATGACAAGGTATGTTGATATGGATATAGGTTTTATTATCCATCCTCATCTTCACATTAAAAAGTTATTTTCATTTATATTCTCAAATTTGTTGAGTATACAATTTTTTGTCTCATCTCTATCTATATTTAGTAAAGAGTATATTCATATTCACACTCTTTTTTTTCTTTCCCTGTTCCAAATATTAATTAAATTATTTTTATAAAAAAATAAAAATAATAGCAAAAAAAATCATAATATCATCAAAATATCAATATTAAAAGAACATATTTTTTTTCTTTATGATCTCAAACATTAAGAGAAAATTTTATAGTTGTATAAATTTATTTTCTTACTTTAAATTCTAAGGGGTCTCTTTTTAATACTATGAAAAATTTATAATATATTACTCAAATGAAATCCCACAAATAATAAAATTAAACTAATAATAGTTAACTATAAATCTTTTAATTTTTGAACATTCATATGAAATCACAGAAAAACATTGTAAGATGAATAATGTTTTTAAAATTATTTGGTAAAGTAGTTTCTAATGGATTGTAAAAGATATATATAATTTATATAAGATGTTTAGACGATGATTTTTATGAAATGCACGAATAGAAAACGTTTCAAAGAGCAGAACAATAAAACACAAATCTTATACTCGTTTAATCAACTTGAACTACGTCCATTTCTCCCTTAAGAACTTTTAAGGAGTCAACTAATATTCAAGAAAATTACACGAGTTTTACTTTTATAGGTTTATAACGAGTATTCCCACCACTCCTACTTTACCTAGTCAACACGACTAGTCCGAGTTTAACCACCACGTTTGCAAGTATTTTAACCATTTTTGGTTCAATCCTAGACAACATGTCTAGACAATTTAACTCAACTAAGTTAAACACCAAGTGTTTTAATTCTCGTTAGAATATACAACACAATAGTGTTATGAGCAAATACAGATTGATAACTCTCAAAGAGAGTATATAACAATACAAATATATTTGGGATAATGCTAAGGTTTTTTTCTTAGAAAATTTTGCTTCAGACAATATATGAGCACAATAAGCTTGTTTAAGGGTTCACGAGTTCACTATTTTATCCTTTTTATCTTCTCTTTAAGCTTCCGTTTATTTATAATTTTTTCTTGAGAGATTACCGTTAGACAAAGAAGTTGACTTCAGGTAGAACAGGTAGCCTTTAGGTGAAAAGTCAGACTTAAGTCTACTTTGTAGAGGTACAATGCTTTATCGTAGTCTTTATCAAAACAGAGCTTGTACGATGTCGCAAAGCAAAAGGCTTCAAGGGAAACGTTTCCATCATGTTCTTCATATCTATCACGTCTTTTTTTGTGCAGTGATTCTGTTAGGTCATACTGCGTGTTTAAAGTGACACCCGGGCACTGATAAGAGGGCGGGGAGTGACGCCGGTGCAGGGAGCATGGTGCAGGGGGCACAGACAAGGAGCGGCTCCTGGCAAGGCTTCCGGTGGAAGGGACACATGGATGAATCGAACATACACCGGAATGAGAGGGATCTGGAGACTGTGTAGGTATGGGACTATACAGTTGAAGGATAGCTTAGAGGAATTGATTTGACTACTCATATCACCAAAATGCATTTACTTTTCGGTAGCCTGACTCATAAGAACTCCATGGTTAAGCGTGCTTAGCCTGGAGTAATTCTGGGATGGGTGACCTTCTGGGAAGTTTTCCCAGAAAGTGTGCGAGTGAGGACAAAGCACACTGGAAAGCCTGGTGGTGGTCTGTGGGGGCAGTCAACGGTCCCTCTGAGTTGCCGGGACGTTACAGATGGTATCAGAGCCTAGCCTCTCCCAGTACGGTG